CTCACTCAGTGCTTTTTCCACTACACCGTTAGGCCCTGGGCTTGGCTGAGGTCCACTGCAATTCAGCAAAGATGCCATTTCCCTCTCCTTCCTCCTTTGGCAGGCAAGGAAACACACAGGGTGGCCTGGGGAGAGTGGCAGCCTCACCAAAGCCTCCTCCTCACGCTAGCACCGCCCCCTTCCTCCCCTGGGAGGTTCCACCAGACTGAGGTGACTCAGGTCTGCGCCTGTGCCCCACCCTTCCTCACCCTTCACTCCCCACATCCTCTCAGCACATGGACTGGAAACCAAAGGGCTTCGTGTGCAAACCAGCGGTCCAGAGACCTGAAAGCCATACCTGATGACATCTGTCTTATGTGTGGGGTTGACTTCGAGGCCAGGAGAGGAGAGGCTGGCAGTTGTCATGGGCAAGAGTGGCGTCTCAGTCCTGGGGCTGGTGGGGAGCTTGCTCTGGGTGTTGAAAGTGAGAGGAGGAAGGGTGGAAATCTGAGCCAATCCCCGGGAAGGATTCTTGTCTGAGGCAGGGGTACTTGAATGATCTGCAAGAAGACACATTGAATGGATGTTTGGATGGATGATGGATGGATGGATGGATGGAGGGGTGATGGATGGATGGATGGATGGATGGATGGTAAGATAAATGGAGCTGAGGAGGGAAATGAACATGGCCATTCATGAAGCAAGGTTTCCTTTTGCTACATACCTTCTCCACACAACTCCTGGGTCACTCAGCACTGAACTTTCACTCTTCCATTCAAAGGGCAAGGGGACGCTTTTCCTGCTCCCCACTGACTGAAGGACAAAGCCCACAAGACTCCGTGGCATTCAAGGCTCTCACAAGCTGAACTGATGGTCCCGCTTCAACCTTACCTGTGTCCTCTCTACTCAACCAGACAGTCCACCCTTTTAGCCAACACACTCCATGTGTGCGCTCCCATCACCTGTCCCTGGCATGGCGGCCAACCCCTCTTCTGCGTTTATTACTCCTCTGCTACCTTCAAAGTTTCTCCTCCTCTACGAAGTGTTCTCTATACCCACTTCCAGCCCCAACACCCCAGCAACTCTGGGTAGAGAAACACTTCTGTCGATCCCATTCCTTTAACCCCAAGAAAGAGGCTGCTCATTGCTCAGATTCGATTCACACCTGGGCCACGTTTTCTCAGTGATGCCTTGTCATCAGGAGTAGAATACGCCTCTGTGGTCTTAGCTCCCCAACCCCAATTCCTGTCCTCTGAGGCTGGTGGGTGGAACATCGGCTGCCTTAAAATAGTAACATTCAAGGCTTGCTTGAAGGCTTCGGGATAAAAGTAGAAGTGAAGCACATCCTGCCTGCTGGGGTTCAGGACCCCGCCGGTCTGCCCGGAGCAGGAGCGGTCCTCTTTCTAGTCCAGCTTGGCTCTGAATAGACCACATGCGGAGCACGAGCCATGGGCCCCGGCTAATCCCAAAGTATTATTCTGCTTTGCCGTGGCCTCTGTGCACTGACTTTCATTCACACACAGGTTACACTGAATCCAGATTGCCCTGTAGAGTCGGTTCTCTTTGGTGGGTGCCACATTTCAGAGGAGATAAAAAGCTGTTGAGGGCCTTGACTGACACCGGGCCCCTACTGAGAGCCCAGAGATGCTTCATGAAGATGGGACAGCATACCCTGTGCTTGCCAGGCTGTCGTCCCAACCTGGCTGGCTTAAATCTGAGCGGGAGAGGGACCTCCAAGATGTTTGGAACCACTTTTCTTCTATAAGCTGAGCAGCTCTCTCCCGAGTTCATTGCCATGAGACAGTACTCTATTTGGGGGATAAAAGTTCACGGCATCCTAGAAGGTGAAAGGTGAAAGGAGCATTCAACACTATCCAATCTAACCTCCCCAAGGAAGAGGGTGGACAGAAAATGCCCAAAGTCCCTCAGCAGAATGCAGCAGAGCCAGCGCTGGGACCCACATCTCCTGACTCCACCGCTGCTCTCAGCCTTCAGAGTCTTGTCCAGTGAGCCTGGACGAGTTTTCCAGCTCAGCACCCACGTCTACCCAGCCCACCGCAGTCAAGTGGCCTGCTCGTCATGCCCACAACAAGTCCTGCTCTCGCTTCTGACGCATCGTGAAGCTTGTCCATCAGGCAGGGACAACATGGCCTACCTTCTCTCTTTTAAATTCCCATTTCAAGCCTTTCTTCCTATAGTATGCTTGGGTGGACAACATCCATCACCTCTGAATATCATCACATGATGTAAGTTTCTTTCTGTGGTTATCTGCTACCGTGCCCCCTCCCCACACCTGAAAAAGTAAAGACAAAATAAGGAAGGATTCCCCACAATTTATTGAGGGAAAGTCTGTTTATCTCTGGGCAGGCCCAGCATAACTCCAGAAAGAAATATTCACTCATTTGTTTTAACCTAACTAAAAACAGTCCTTGGGTGCCGTTTCCTCTCCATGGAACCTCAGTATTACCGCACGCGTCCTTTCCAGAGGATTATCATTGTTCCTTCGGGAGACGAATAAGTCCTTTGGGCAGAAACAACCTGTACTAGACTCAGTTTCCTAAGACACATTAGCCTAAGATTTTTCCAATTAATGGAGAGAAGGAATATGAAGCCACTGTCCAAACCCCACTGCCTGTTATTGGTGATTTGATGAAAATAATTATGTTTACATTGATCCTGTGTGAAAGTTGATGTTGTTCTCATTCAAGCCTGTGGGCTCAGTCATTCTCAATTATCTCTCTTGTTGTCTTTGTTAAGACTTGACGTGAAAGAGCCAGGCAGCTCTTGAATGATGGATTCAGACCTGGGGGCCTAAGCTGTCTACTGGAGTGGACAAACTCTGTCAAGGATAAATATAAGGCCTTTGTTTCTCTGACCTTAATAAATACAGAGAAACCCAGAGAACTGGAGCCATTGGAATGTCACAATGGAGAAAGCCTAGACTAGGGTGACGAACCTGCTCAAGGTAACTGAGTGAGTCCAAGGTAGAGAGGGAGTGAAACTCCAGGTCAGGGCACTTTCCATGATCCCACCACCGCCCCACTTACCTTTGTAAAGAGCAACAGTTGTAATATGTCCACATGTACAGGCACTAAGACGAAATTTAATAAAATGCTCCTGAGTAGAGGGCAATGAAACCAATTCACGGACTGCGTAAATCGCTTGCAATCAGCCTGTTAGTTACTGGGTGTCGCTGGATGTTCCTAAAGAACTGGGTGGAGGGGACGGAGGGGGGTTTCTAATAGGTGGGCTCAGCAGCTTCCTTGCAGTCCTGCCTACAGCACTGTCCTTTTGTTTGGTCAACTCTTTATTTCCAGACACTGCTACGAAGTTCAACTTCAGCTTAGGCCTGGCCTGATATTCGCATACTCAGGAAGTTAGCAGGGAAGTGGACGAGCAGTGCCCTGTGTGGTGAAGGCCTGCCCACCTCACTGACTCGAGACGTTTATTGAGAAGCTTGACACAGAAGTGTTGGGCTCCACCTTCCTAGCTGCATCTCGCCATGTGGGTAGACAGGCTTTCCAATGAAGGAGGGAGAGAATTGGCGGTGCCCCCACCAATGAGAGCAGCTCAAGGTCAATGGGAGGCCCTGCGTTTGCTGTCTAATATCTATTCCTCATCTGCTTCTTTTCAATCCCTTGAGAAAGGGGACAGTTGTTACTGGCCACACCGGGCCCACTTCCTGGATGCACCAAGGACAATGCAACCAGGTGGGTCTCTGTGCCCCGCATCGGCTGAAAGACATAGTGAATGACATAGCCCTTGGGGCGCCTTCCCATGTACGATGGAGACAGACAGAAGCAACGCTGGGCACGTGGTCCATGTTTCGTTATCCTGTTCCTCTCGCATGCTCTCTGCCATAGAGCGAGAGGAGTTTTGAGATCACCTAGTCCAACTTTCTTGCCTTAACAGGTGAGAAAACTCAGGCCCAGAGGGGAGCTATGACTTTCTCAAAGCCACAAAGAGAGAGAGCGAAAAGCCTTGGGGCTCCAATTTCGGGTGGAGAGATGTCCCCGTGACTCTGTGCTGTCTCTCCAAAGCAGCCCTCACAGCAGATGGGACCGGGGCCTGGGGCTGAGTACTCACCCTCCACAGCCCTTCCCTGTCTGGGCTCTCACTGCTGCTCACCTCTGCACTGTACCAGCCGAATCCGAGGAAACAGCTCTTTGGGCTTCTGAGGTGAGAGGTCAATCACGCATTGGTACAGCCCCAAGTCCTGCCTCTGGAGCCCTGTCACTGTGACAACCAAGCCGCCATTGGTGGGATCATCCTCCAGCAGGTATCTCCCAGCCCGGGCCCAGTTTCGGTCCGTGTATTTAGTGGTCGTGCGCACCAGTGTCTCAGCGGGGCCTTGGCTCCCCACTCGCTGCCAGGCCTTGAGGCTGGTGGCATACAACATGATGTTGTAAGTACAGACTGCGGTCAGGTTCCTTCCTTCTAGTAGGCATATTTCGTCCTCCTCTTCACCTACGGCTGGGAAACCTAGAATAAGAAGTCAAAGTTTGGCACTGAGCAAAGGTTCCTCTCACCATCCCCACATCCACAAACCGCTCTGCAGAGACAAGAGCACAGGCGAGAGTCTTAGTAGCCGTATCGAGCATTTAGGAGTCATTTAGGATTTCTGTACATTCTTGTGAAAAGGTTCAGCAGTTTCGGCAATTACACATATATGGAGCAAATGAGGCAAAATATCAATCATGGTTCAATGTTTGAATCTAGCTGAGGAGTTCACGGTGCCTTTTCTATCTCTATTTTGTAGAGCAGAAAATTTTCATAATAAAAAGGTAAAAGAGTAAAAGAGAACTTAACCAGTTTTACCACCTGTATTCTATTCTACTTGGGGTTCCCCAGGCATGTCCCTTGCTTTCAAGTCTACGGTACTGTAATACTAGCTCCTGGTGTCACCAGGCCGAATGCTTCTTCCCACTCCTCTCTACCCATATCCGTCCCATTGGATCCCAGATGCAGTGTACTGAACAGTTCCAGCTACCGCTAATCTCTTTCTCCCCTCAACGCTCAATACCATTGATCACCCTACACCTGGTTACATCACCATCATCATCGTCGTCGTCGACGTCATCCATTGTAACTTTTATTAAGCACTTACTCAGCCCTAAATACTGAGCCACGTATTTTACATCAGCCTGCTGTTTAAGTCTTAGGACAACCGTCTGCTATAGGTACCATTTACAAATGAGTACTTCTGAGTGGGTACTGTTTACAAATGAGGAGACTGAGGCACAGGGAGATTAGGGGACCTCTTAAGGTCACATCAGTAGAAAGTGGAAGAAATGGGATTTGAGCCCAGCTCTGTCTGGTTCCAGAACCCTTACCCTCTTTTCTTCACTCCCTCTCTGGGCCTTGGTAGAGTGACTTCTGTCTTTATATTGTCACTTGGCCCTTTTGTCATCATTTACCTTTCCCTCTACTAATGCTCCTCCACCTCA